TGCTAGTGATACTGCTTTCTTAAGACGATACCAGCTGGAGAAGTACGACCAACGTTGCAGCAGGTCTTTGCTCACTAATCTTCCAGCGATTGATGAGAAGGGGCACGACAAATCTCTAACTTCTGGATCTTCTTTGGAAATCTTGACATCAACTGGGTACTTAGGCCAGTCAACCTTTGGCTTCCATAAGAAATCTGGACCATGAATCCAACGGTGTTGTTCTGTTAAACTGTCAGGATCAAGACCTCTAGATGAATCGTCGGCCGGATTGTTGTTGCTTTCTACGTATCACCACTGTGAAACTTGCGTGTTGTCTACTATCGTTTGGATCCGGTTTGCGACAAAGATCTTGTACCGGCTTTTGCGGTTATGTAAGTACTTCAAAACGGTGGTACTGTCGGTCCAGTAGTAGTTCTCTTCAACTTCCTCTTCTAACTCACGTTCTAACATGGTGCCAATACGTACAGATAAAACGGCGGCGTTCAGTTCGATGCATGGTACTGTTACGGCTTTAAGTGGTGCAAGATGAGCTTTACCCATTGCAAATGCACAATGAATATCCCCTTTGTCGTTTGTCTGTCGAGTGTAAGACACTTGACCATATCCGGTAAAACTCGCATCAGAAAAATTATGGATCTGCAAGCTGGTTACGACGCCAAAGTTGTCGGGTTTTAGACTTCTTTCCATCTTAAAGCGTTCTAGTAGTGCTAAGGAGTTTTGCCATCTCTCCCATCGCACCTTGATCTCGTCAGGTATCTCTTCGTCCCAGTCAATGCTATTTTGGCACAGATCTTAGAGGATTTTCTTTCCTTGAAGTATAACTGGTGCCGCAATTCCCAGAGGATCATAGACGGAACTGATTGTTGACAGGACTCCTCGACGGGTCAGCGGTAAGTCTTTGAGGGTAATGCGAAATCCCAGTTCGTCAGCTTCTACACTCCATTGGACACCGAGTGCACGTTCGACAGGTAGGTCATCACTAAGGTCCATGTTCTTGAGGGATTTGCTTCTTTTTCTCTTGTGGAACTGCTTCGATCACGTTTCTTCTGTTGCTGATGATCTTRCTGAGGGAAAATCCACCTTTACTGCAGGCATCTATGACGTCTTTCACTCTTTGGATGGCGTCTTCTTCTGTTTCTTCAGAGCTCAAGCAATCATCGACGTAAAAATTCCTCTTCAGAGTGTCAGCAGTTTCTTTGCTCATTTCGTCTTTGAAGTCTTCGGAGATCCTCTTTAAAGCATAATTGGCACAACTTGGAGAAGAAACGGCTCCKAAGAGATGGACATTCATCTGGTACTCTTCTGGTTCGCTTGACAAATCTGCATCCGTCCACCACAGAAATCGTAGAAAGWCACGGTGGTTTTCACTAACTCTAACCTGGTGGAACATTGCATCGATGTCTCCCATGAAGGSAATGGGTCGTTTTCTGAATCGTACGAGGACACCAATCA